AACACTTCATGTACATTCGGATTCACTCTTTTCTTCGCCAGAACATGCGTTAGGACTTTCGGCAGGTAGTATGAAGTATGAAAATGTATGAGGCTACGGAGACGACAAGGATAGTCCTTTAAATGCACTTACATAAAATATGATGTAATATATGCTATATGCCTATTTTCTTCGTCTAAACAGTCTGCTATAATAACTTTTGTGAATGGCGATATTAGGGTTTTTAGCTTGTGATATCATAAGCATACCATGAATTACTTTCTGTAAACATTTTGTCAGAATTTTCCTTTCTTCTATCATAATTGATAGAATGTTGAGCTTTTTATTTCATATTAGAGCAGTTTGAATGCAGACAAATTTTCCAAGAAATACGGTGACCAATGAACAATTCCTATCGGTCTTCACAACTGAGCTTCAAAATAAAGCTCCACATCTCCTAGGATTGATTTAAGTTCCAAGTCTGATATTTGCAATGAATGGTAACTAGTTCTAGCTGGCGATGGTAAATTTTGATTTGACGCAAATGCTTTCTTTAACTGATATTCCTGATTTTAGTACCTACTAAATTTCGACACCCTAAAGCTTGTGACAGTTTCTATGCATTCATTCTCAATGGATCAAAAATGTTGTAACTAACTGTACTTCACAATTATAAGGGAATTTTTCACTTCTGAAAATTTCAGTGCAGCTGCTGTCACAGTAGAAAGATTGTAACTCAGTGGAATCCCTAAGAGAAGTGCTGCACCCTACACTAATAGTACTTCAAATAGTAATATTTTTATGATCTTAAGCTCCAGAATTAACACCTTTTCCCTCCTGTAAAGCGTTGAGAAGAACGTTATTTATTTTACTCAGAAATTTCTGTAAAACTATGAATGCAATGGGGCTAAAACGAAACTTAAGAGTGGGAGTTGAGCTTGAAATAATGACTCATGAGCCTTGTTGTTTTAAAGGATTAAACTTTGCTCTCTCTAGTATTTCACATTTCCTATAGTATGGAACAATGAGCGCTAGACTTCTGGATTCTTGCAATCAATCATCTCTTTGATAACGTTCGATGTGCAATACATCAAAGATCAAAGTGTTTTTCAAACTATCTCCTGTTTTCTATGTACTGTCGTTAATCTTAGAGTGTTTGGGCGATGCAAATGAATTTGACAGTTGTGTTGAGGAGTTTTTTCAATGAATCAAACGTTTTAGAGAAAAAGACTGATGGAATTCTTCAATGAAACATATTCCTCTACAAAATAATCTCAAAAGTCTTGTTTCAATGGATATAGAATGAAAAGACGTTCAATATACAGGTGTTCCAGAAAAATCTTCTGTTTTCAAACTTTTTTC